ACTGTATGTCCTAGATAATATGTAATAAAAAAAAAAAATCACAAACCATGCCTTTCTGATGCTTATGTTGAATTTAATTACCTTGGTTCTTAGTTGTGGATACTTACAGAGCTATTTGAGCAGAAGCTTTTCACAACATTTGCAGGAACCTCTACATACCAATCAGATCAATCTCTGGTGCAGAGGTTGGGCTCAGCCACCTGTGAATTTGAAAAAGATTGCGTTGCTTAACCTTAATCATAGAACCACTGCTTTGTGAAAATGACAATGCCCCTGGGAGGGCCATATTGGCTATATACTTGTATTTGAGATTTAAACCACTTAATTGGGACATTTAAGATTTTTATTCTTGATGTTGTGTATAGTGTTACATAAGAAATACCATCCCAGTGCGTCTATTACTACTATTATATTACATTTGTGTAAAATGGCTTATCTTTATAGAACTTTTACACATGCATTATTTCATTGTTATTCATAGTAAACAAAGTCTGAGAGATTGAATAACCTGTCCAAAGTCCTGTGACCAGTAAGTGTTAGCAGTTGAGATAGAATGTAGGTTCTGTGCACCCTGGTTCAGTACTTTTTTTTTTTTTTTTGAGACAGAGTCTTGCTCTGTCGCCCTGGCTGGAGTGCGGTGGTGCGATCTTGGCTCACTGCAACTTCCGCCTCTTGGGTTCAAGCGATTGTCCTGCCTCAGCCTCCCAAGTAGCTGGGATTACAGGTGTGCGCTACCACATCTGGCTAATGTTTGTATTTTTAGTAGAGATGGAGTTTCACCATGTTGGCCAGGGTGGTCTTGAACTCCTGACCTCAGATGATCCACCTGCCTCGGTCTCCCAAAGTGCTGGGATTACAGGCGTGAGCTACTGTGCCTAGCGAGTTCACTACTTTTTAAAAGACTGAACTAGGTGTTATGGCTCACACTTGTAATCGCAGAGCTTTGGGAGACTGAGGAAGGAGGCCCATCACTTGAACCTAGGAGTTTGAATTTAGCCTGTGAAACATAGCAAGACCCCATCTCTACAAAAAATATAAAAATCAGCCAGGCATGGTATGTGCACCTGTAGTCATAGCTGCTTGGGAAGCTAAGGTGGGAGGTTTGCAAAAAAAAAAAAAAAAAAAAAAAAAAAAAAAAATTCACATAGCTGTGAATAGTTTATCTTAAATATTTTTCAGAAGTGTAAAATTTTCATAAAACTTAACAGCCCATTTATACCTTTCCTATTGTCTCTAGGGTCTTCATGTTTTTAAGATACCATTTTAAGTATCTTGAACCTGATACTGCTGTCTATTAATGAAATAAAGACAGGGTCTCACTTTGTCCCCAGACTGGAGTGCATTGGTAGTGCATATTTTGTTTTTGGCATTCACTGTAAATTTTTGGTAGTATTCCCCATAGGAATTTCAGACTTCAGGAGAGCAACTTTTAGAATAATAGGAGAGCTCAAAATATCAGTCAGGTCTTTTATTTTTATTTTATTTTCATATCCTTTATTTTATTTATTCTTGGAGTAGAACAGGTGCCCGCCCCACAGCTCACTGCAGCTTTGAACCCCTGAGCTCAAGTGGTCTTCCTGCCTCAGTTCTCCTTAGTAGCAAGGACTACAGGCACATGCTACCTCGCCCAGCTAATTTTTTTAAAAACTTTTTTGTAGAAACGGCGTCTCCTCTGTGTTGCCCAGGCTTGCCTTGAACTCTGGGCCTCAACCTAGATCCTTCTGCTTCTGCCTCCCAAAGTGCAGGCATGAGCCACTGCGTGCAGCTGATACCATCTCTTAATAGTAGACTTTTGACAGAATGGTTTCCTATTTGTGCTTTTGTTTTTACTCAGAAGTCAGACTTCTGCCACCTGTTTTTATGGAGGGCCATTGTTGATTTCTTGAGGTTTTTTTTTTTTCTTCTTTTAAGTAAACTCTCTATTGAAATATGACCTATGTTCAGAGAAGTGTACGAGCCATAAATGTTCATTTTCTTGAATTTCCTCAAAATCAAAACACCCATATAACACTTACCTAGATCAAGAATTAGAAAATTCCCTTGGGTCTCCCACCCTCTAAAAGAAGGAACCCACTATTTTGGTTAGGCGTCAATAGTTTATTCAGAGTAGAAAACCAAGGTATTAGGTATTTTGTAGGAGTGGCCTGTAAAATGCAGCACATTGCAGGGAAATATTTGAAAATCTGTCCCATGGCAGTATAACTGAGTATGTAAATTAGTGACTTAGAGTGCAACTTAATGGTCAAGATTTCAGGCCAGGCCAGGCATGGTGGCGCATGCCTGTAATCTCAGCTGCTGGAGAGGCTGAGGCAGGAGGATCACTTGAACCTGGGAGGCGGAGGTTTCAGTGAGCTGAGATCGCACCACTGCACTCCAGCCTGGACAACAGAGCAAGATTCTGTCTTAAAAAACAATAACAACAACACAAAAGAGATTTCAGGCCAGTCAGCTTATAGATGAGCTGAGCAGGTTCTCAGTAAAGCCCTTGTGAAGAGCCCCTGAGAAAAGATAATGCAGAGCATTGATTTGACTAGTGCACATCCCCTGCAACCAGCTGTCTTGCTTGTTGAAACTTCCTACTGCTGCTTTATCCTCCTTTCTTCCTCCCCTTTTTAAAAATAAATAAATAAATAAATAAATAAAAGAGTTTTGCTCTTGTTGCCTAGGCTGGAGTGCAGTGGTGCAATCTCACCTCACTGCAACCTCTGCCTCTTGGGTTCAAGCGATTGTCCTGCCTCTGCCTCCTGAGTAGCTGGGATTACAGGTGCTGCCTAAGTTTTGTATTTTTAGTGGAGACAGGGTTTCACCATGTTAGCCAGGCTGGTCTCGAACTCCTGACCTCAAGTGATCCTGCCTGGCCCTTCCAAAGTGCTGGGATTACAGATATGAGCCCCCGTGCCTGGCCCTTTCTGTCCATTTTTGCCTACAGACCTTTTGAACTCCTTTTGAGAAATTGGAGCTGAACTGTTTCTTCTGAGCCAGTGATTTGATTTGTAGACTTGTGGAAGAAGATGACTTAGGCTAGGCAGTGGGATGATTCTTGTAATATTCTTTTGCTGTTGACATTAATGGTTTCTGATTCAGGCAGAGTTGTCATCTAGACCATATTACCACCCCCGGGACTCTTATTTAATGATGATAAAGACAACAGGAAGATCATTCTTATTTTAACAGTTCAGTTTTGCAGGATTTTTTTGTTCCTTGTAATTTTCTTCATCATATTTATTGAACTTTTAGCAGGCACTGCAGTCAGTGCTAGGGATATAAAAATGAATACACAGCTTTAGTCAGTTTTGCCTCTGCGGGTATGGAGGAAGCTGTTGCCTTTGGATATTTTAAAAGATCTTTTTGTCTTTAGAACCCTATCATATTCCCATCTCAGCTTTGGGGAATCTCAATGTGGTGCATAATTGGCTATCCTTCAGTCCTTTTGAATCAGTAACAGCCACATACTTTAAAGATTCTATTCTGAAAGGCACATCTCAATGGCCAAATCAAAGCTGTGATTTACTGTCTTGATGCCGCATGAAGCTAAGTTGTATATCCTTTCTCAGTTCCTTGTCATATTTGTTCCTTTTTTATATTATCTTTTTCTGTGTCGCATTTGAACAGAGAATAACTTCAGAAGTAAAATGGGCTCTAAAGTAGTAGTTGAAAGGTTTAAGAATGTCAGCCTTTCTGGGCCAGTGATCTCTTAAGAGCGTCTGTTGGTTTTGCATCTACGGGCCCATCCACAGTCAGTCTATTTATAACTGAGTGTTGGCTGCTGTGTCCTCCATTGTTGATTTCTCCCCATTGACGTTTGGTTTTGGTGACTGGAAATGCTTTGCAGCCACTCTGGTCTTCTATTGAGTGGATCTTGCCTTGTACCAGGAACTTGAACTTGGTCCATGTGCATTTCTCTTCCTTAAACTAGGAGTCAGTGGTGGGGAAAAGCAAGGCTGCTTCCCTCTAGTTTTGCAAAAACAAAAGTTAAACCCTTAACCCTTTGATGTAAGGTTCTGCAAATCTCTTTGTACTATGTCAAGTCACTATACCAAATCTTTTCTTTTGGAAACCAAGGTACATGTACTTTATATGTCCAGGGCTTAACTTGGGATGTTGGTAAGAGGAGATAGACTTAATTTCTGTAGAAGGCAGGACATAAACATGACATGTCTAGCACTAAATTCTTTTAGGCCCAGTGTTTTAAGCTTTGTAGTTTGAAACACTTGAGACAGAAATTCTCTTGCGTCAAATGCTTCAATTTAACATACTCCCACTTAGAGATCTCATGAATAATCTTTGTTACCGGTAGATGGTAGAAGATAGTTATTAGAGTACTTCTGGTGAAAGAATCTCATAGTTAGAGTTAACTTGTTTTGAGGCATTAAAAAACTTAAGGGTCATCAGAGAATTGTTGATGCATACCTGTGAGGCTTATAGGGTAGAGCTGGGAGGTGACGCAAATTGACAGGGCATATATCCCAAGATCAGGTACAGAATAATTGAGTTGATATGAAGTCAGACCACACTTGGCTCAATATTTAGAAGTAAGGGAGGAATTTACATAGTGCAGTGGAGAAGTATGAAATTCTTTTTACAGGCGTAATAATTTTTTTTTTCTGTGCTATTAGCTGTCATACCTGGGGCTTATTAAGAGTCCTGCTATTATGTAGAGTTAGGTTTGGGAGTAGAGAACTTGACCAAGAGCTACAGAGTTATGGCTGGGCTTTGGGTAGGAAGAAAAAAAAGGAAGGAAGAAAATGGGTTGATGGGACATTGGATATAGTAAGACTGTTCTGAACTCTGTAACATAAATGTATGTCTGTCTCCCCCATTTGGCAAGACCTTCTGCAGTGTTCCTGCCTCTGTGTTGTTTGTTAATTAGATTGTAATGTGTGAAAGGGCACAACACCATCCTCTTCTGAGTAGCATCTAGTATAGTCTGGTGCCCACAACGGTTGCCCATTATTATTAGTTGATGACGATTAGTGAAGCTGAAGCTATTTTTTAAACAGGGCCCAAGGGATGCAGACAGTGATGAAAACGACAAAGGTGAAAAGAAGAACAAGGGTACGTTTGATGGAGATAAGCTAGGAGATTTGAAGGAGGAGGGTGATGTGATGGACAAGACCAATGGTTTACCAGTGCAGAATGGGATTGATGCAGACGTCAAAGATTTTAGGTTTGTATGTTTTACACTTCTGATTTTTGAATGTGGGCTATGGGGTTTTGTTTGTTTTGATTTAGTTTTACTTTGATTTTCGTTTTCTTCCCCTCCTCATGTTTTCTTTTTAAGAATCCAATCTAGTGTAGGCTATGCTACAAAGATTGTAAATTAACTGGTGAGGTGGAATTTTGTAAAAGTTGTCAAAAGTATTGCCAAAATGGTAGATTTTGCATTCGCATAGAACTCTAAAATTTGAAGAAGGATGCCAGAAAAGACTATTTCAGTGATTCTCAAATATTAAAATCACCTAGAATAGATGCCTTCAGACCTTTCTTAAGTTTCTCCCAAGTTACTGTATTAGAGAGCTATGGTTACTAATGGAGTATGTAATATCCCTCTGGTGGTTTAGAGGGAGAAACAGTTGAGAACTTGTGCATTATCTCATTTGAGTCTCATGAGCTCCTTTTGAGTTAGGTGGACCAGGTATCATTTTCCTCATTTTGAAGAACCAGAGATGCAGCTTAAATGATTTGTTCTTAATCATATCTCTTCTGCAGATGCCTCTCATCCCATCTCTGGTCATGATTAATTTACAGATTTTACCCTATTATTTAACTAACACAGTATTAAAATAATGTATATTTATCTTCCACAGTTGGCACGTATTCTTCTTGAAAAATCTATAAAAATCCTTGTCCAGTTATATACAGGTAGAGGATTTTTTTTAAATCTCCAGTGTGATAGTACAGGTAGAGAATTTAATTTTGAGTAATTTTAATATCAGTCTAAAGCTAATGTGTGCACGCGCGCGCGCGCGCACACACACACACACACACACACACACACACACACCTTTGCTTATTCTAATGTGTGCCAAAGTCAAAATGAAAGTGTATTTTGCACCATCGTTGTAGGACAAATATTAGTTGTTTTGTATTCCTAATCTAATTATCATTATGTTGCATGTGTGAATAATTACAGTCTTAAACATTTTTAAAATTATTTATTTATTTTTTGGAGACAGGGTCTCACTCTCTTTACCTAGGCTGGAGTGCAGTGACATGAAGCTCACTGCAGCCCCCACCTCCTGGGTTCAAGCAGTCTTCCCACCTCAGTCTCCTGAGTAACTGGGACTACAGCCACGCACCACCATGCCTGGCTAATTTTTATATCTTTTGTAGAGACGGGGTTTCGCCATATTGCCTAGGCTGGTCTTGAACTCCTGAGCTCAAGTGGTCTGTCTGCCTTGGCCTCCCAAAGTGCTGAGATTACAGGCATGAGCCACCATGCCCGGCCAAATTACAATCTTTGGAAGAAATTTAAGGCACAGGGTAATAAATACTTACCTAAGGTCTTTCAGATGAGTTCAGGTGTCCTCTCTACCTTGAATATCCAGCAGCCTATAGCAGTATTTTGTTGTATTATTAAATGGGTGGTGGTGAGTGTGTGTGTGTGAGAGAAAGAAAGAAAGAAACCAGAATAATATCTTTAATATGTACCAGCTGCTGGACTACAGGATTTTTGGGGGGTGGGAGGGTGAAAGTGGAGAAGAACGGCATTGAATGTTGCCATAGGCTACAGTCTCCTGATAATATAATATTATATATTAGTCTGATTTTGGATCATATCCTGAAGTCCTTTTATATAAGGTGATGGTAGACCCTGGGTTACCCAGAACCTTGTATCCCACAATAATTATCAATAGTGCCCCCCCCCCCCCTTTTCTTAATCTTAGGCATGTCCTAAGATAAAAGATGGTTTGGATGACAAATTACATCCTCACATTACTTTTAATTCTTAGAATTGTCTCCTTAACAGGGGCATAGCCTAGATAAAGAGTTTATCTTGTACTGCTTTGGAATAGTCTGCTTCTTTTGGTTTCTTAGAAGGGGAGTTAGTTTTAGCATTGGTCAGTAATACCAACGATATGTAAAAACTTTTTTCATTTTCTTTTTTTCCTCACAAATATGCCAGGAACATAAAAACTTTTTAGAATCACTGAGTTGTGGAATTTTCCCCAGAAACCAGCTTTTTCCATTGTCTCTGTATTTAAAGAGTAAATGTTGCATTTTGATGGGACATATTTTGCTACCTGCATTTTAGGATCTGCTTTCATGGATGCCATAGACAGTGATTTTTCCACTTTATTTCAGTTTTCCTCAAATCTGGCCCCCTTGGTGAAGGGATGTAAATTAATAGCAATTAATGTGAATTTAAGGGGTGAATTACATGGAATTGCCAGCAATAGAAGCATCAGTTTAGAAGATGTAACTCTGTAAGCACTATAAAGTATCTCCGGTTGTTTTATAGAAATAGTTTTAAATACTGTTGATAATGAGCTATGTTGAGGACATTGTCCTTAAACTTGGGTTGCTGTAGTCCCTCCCCACTGAAAATAAGGTTTAATGCCCTTTACTTTCTCTGTTTAGCCGTACCCCTGGTAATTGCCAGAACTCTGCTAATGAAGTGGATCTTCTGGGTCCAAACCAGAATGGTTCTGAGGGCTTAGCCCAGCTGACCAGCACCAATGGTGCCAAGCCTGTGGAGGATTTCTCCAACATGGAGTCCCAGAGTGTCCCCTTGGACCCCATGGAACATGTGGGCATGGAGCCTCTTCAGTTTGATTATTCAGGCACGCAGGTACCTGTGGACTCAGCAGCAGCAACTGTGGGACTTTTTGACTACAATTCTCAACAACAGGTACTGTGTGTGTCTCTGTCACCCTCTCTACTCTCCCTCCAGCCAGCACGTTGTTCAAGTAATTAAGGAAGGGGGGATGGATGGGGGAGGAGGTGGCATTGTTTCAGGCTATCCATAGCTAGCCCTTATGAACCTGTTAGTGATGTAGGGTTTACAGAGCCCTCTCATGAAGCTGGTGCCTATGCTGAGGTCACTGGCAAGAGGCCACCCTGCTCTATATGTACTTCCTTTGGCTCTTATCTCTCCTCGGTAGCTGGGGAACGGATGAGGTAGTGTTGCCTCTTGTAACACAACCCTCTTGGGTGCTAAATTAATCTCTCTGAAGATTTATGTGGTTGTGATGCTGTTGATTTGTTTTGTTTTTAAAATAGTAAACTCTGCTATCCACCGCTGTCAGGAGTGTAGTGCCAGGTCATCTTACCGGTTGTGTCTTAGAGTTAAACGAGTTACTCCAGATAACATAGATAAAGATTTGACATCTTTCAAAAGTATTAGAATGTGATCAGAGGAAACCACACACACAAATCATTCAACTTCAACTTGACCGTGAAATAGCTTGGCTTTTTTTTTTTTTTTTTTTTTAATTCATAAGTCCCTGAAGATGTTGTATGTCTACCTTCTATTTTTGAAGACATGTAGGACTACCTCTAGGGTTAACTGATCTCTGTGTTTATTTTATTTTATTTTATTTTATTTTTAAAGAAAGGTCAGCTGTCTGAACTACAAAAGAGGGGCTACTAGTTTCCCAATCTTGCTAAGTATAAGTTCTCTCTTGTAGTGGAAGCAGTTTGTGAATTTCTGTTACTCTTTAGTAGGTTCGTAATAGATGGTTAATACAGACTTCTAGGTTTGAAAGGTTAGCATCTCATTTTGAAGTTGAGAAATTCTATGTAGGGAAATTTGCTTATGGTCTTTGGAGATTAGTTATGACATGTACCTTTATTGTCATAAATAGCTGACACTAAATTAATTTTGATTGATAGAGTAAAAAGTTAAACATATGAAGTTTTCCTTTAATTTAAGTCTCCTTTGTGGTTTATGAACAATAAATACCTTTAAGGGATTGTATGAATGTGCATATTCATATAAGGTTAAATTAACAAAATATCTTTCAGAGTGAGTAAACTTAAAGTGTACACTCTTCTCCGTGCAGTTCTTAGTAGGTATGCCCGCCTCCCATGTGAATTGACTTTCTGTGCTTTTTTCTCTTCTTTATGGCCAGTTTTGGTTCTTAGCTTCCATTCCCAGTGTAATGCAATCTAACCCTTTCTGTGTTTTTTAAGAAGAGTGTGTCTCAGATTTCTTACAAACAAAAATATGTGGTTCTTTTTTTTTTTTTTTTTTTTAAACTGTTCTTCATTTCATAATCAGAGTCGAGATTCTTTTTTGGTTTATTGATCTTTGGTTTCAAAATAATTTTACCAATTTTTGGAGGCTGGACAATTATGAGAACTTGAACAGAAATGTACTTCTGTGTAGCCACAAGTAGTTAACATGATTACATCGTAGCTACCACTTATTCAAAAATAAAAAACCAAGGGTGCCCTCACCATATATCTCAGCAGTTTTTGAAAGTAAACATTATTTTGAAAGTTAATCTCTTGTTGGATTCAGGTTTCCTATGCATGTCTTGGTTGGTGCAACATAGAGGCATTTTTACACAGACATACGATTGTCATGATGTGAGTGTTGTTTTGTCTCGGGGGCCATAATTCTTTTCTGAGTAGTTTGTTTTATACATTCTTGTATCGGGGGCCCTAATAGCATACCTGGGAACCACTGGCGTAAGCCTCCTAGTATCTTTAAGACCCTCAATCTTTCAGTGTTCCTATATAAGAGCTACTAGTTGTCAAAAAGGAAGGATTCCTTTTCTGTTGGAAATTGGTGTTTATTTCTTACATTTTATTCCTTACCCTTTTGGTTTTCATTACATTTTATTCCACTTTTCATTTCTAATTTAAATCCACCTCATTTGTCAAGGTTCAGTACTGTCACGTTCCTTTTTTAGTCTCCAAACCAAAAAGCTGTCATGTCTGCCTCCCTTGAACTCCATAGCATTTTGTGTTTCCTTTAAGAGAAGGTGTTACCATGTTTTGTCTTGTGTTGTGATTACTTGTCTAATAGTCCTTGCCAGGTTGTAAGCTCCTTGAGGGCAAAGACTGAACCGTATCCCGTTTCCTCTGCATTGCTTTAGCAGAACAAGGTTTCAGGGGACTTTCCCCCATCCCTATTATAATATCTCAGTGCATCCTCTGTATGTAATATTCTTCCCAAAATTAAAATTTGAAACTAGCCTTTCAGGAGGTCTGGAGGCTACTCTCTGAGAACTACCATGTTTTCTAATATGTGTGTTCTTTGGATCCAGCTTACGCCTTATGTACAAATAACTATACTGTATTATATCCAGGAAAGTTAGTTCTTGGATCAGAACTTAATCTTTTAAGGTTCACTCTGTTGTCATCTGATCAGAAACCATGGTCTCATGAGAAAAATGTACATTAATTCTCTGACACTCAGTTTTGTAGGTAACTTCAGGGAGATCACAGATCTGTGTTCTACAGATACAACCTTCTGTTGATATCTTTTGTTCTTTGTAGCCAACCATATCTTTCTTGAATAGAGTATGATTCCCTTTCCTCCTCTTGATTTGCTCTCAGGTTAGTCATTGTGACTCATTTTATCATTTAAATTGTGCTTGGAAGTACTCAATGACAAGTGATGAGACCATTTATGCCCATATCCTTGGAACCCTATGACTATGGAGAGTGTACTCTGGTTTCTGGTCTCTTGCGGAAGGGAAGAACTTGTGGAAGAGGTGGTTTTTGTTTTTGTTTTTGTTTTTTTCCTGGAGACAGAGTCTCACTCTGTTGCTCAGGCTGGAGTACCATGGCACGATCTTGGCTCACTGCAGCTTCTGTCTCCTGGGTTCAAGCAATTCTCCTGCTTCAGCCTCCTGAGTAGCTGGGATTACAGACACCCACCATCGTGCCTGGCTGATTTTTGTAATTTTAATAGAGATGGGGTTTCGCTTTATTGGCTGGGCTGGTTTTGAACTCCTGGCCTCAGGTGATCTGCCCGCCTCGACCTCCCAAGGTGCTGACATTACAGGTATGAGCCACAACGCCTGGCCAGAGGAGGTGGTTCTTTAGCTGTGCCGTGAAAGACTTGTTTATATAGGAAGAAGATGAGAATTCTAGTGGAGGAAATAGTAAAACAGGTATGTGTTCACTAGTAGATAATGTAGAAGTAGTCAGTCTGGTTGGTGGTTTGGGTTGAAGAAAAATAACTAGAGAGGTTGAAGAGATAGTGTTGTGAGTCTTATGCTGTATTCACTATAGGAAATGAAAAGACACTTTAAAGGAGGAATGACTTAATTGTTTTAGTTTAGTTTTTTTGTGGTTAATGTGAGTTTAGCAGCAGTTTGAGACGTTCTCTTACTCTTATTATTCAGTTAACTGTTGACTGTTGTGTTCTTCTAGGAACCTTAGGTTCTGAATGAAACAGTAGTGGAACATTTGGGGAACTAAGCGCTAAATTGGTGGATTCTGAATCCTATCAGACAAGGGGAGGGCTCAGTGAGGACAAAGGTTGCATGCAACTGACTTGAAGGACAGGTAGAATACGTTTTGTTGCAGGTCAGAGCAGAGGTGTGGAGCTGGGAATGACCACGGTGTGGGCCTATGCTGAAGGGAGTAGAAGTTGAGTGTAGAAGGAGGACAAGGAGGTACAGGTGCCTTTGAAAATTGAGTCCATGTCCTGGACGCCTTGAGAACCAGCTGGAAGTCTCAGACAGTACTGCCGATTGTGAGGATTGAACCAGAGATCTAGTGCAGTACATATTTTTCTATACATTCTGCTCTTTTTATCTTGGCTTTCTGAAATAAGCAACAAAGGTGATCATTTTTCTTGGTTTAGAGTTGTTTGCTGCAAATGATAGATTTGCTTTATTTTTGATTTTTTAGAATAGGAGTCTGGTTTGGAGGTTGACAAAATAAGTAATTCCCTCTTTTGTTCTATTTTGTTTCAATCTTGGCTTTGATTTGGTGTAATAAGCTGGTTTCATCAAACTTATTATCAGCCTGTAATGAGATAGATGACATGGAGCAGCCTGCAAATAGGGAAAAGGTAATTTTCATTTAATTCATTGCAAACTTAGTTCTTGTTAGCTGTGACACAGGATTTTGATTAGTTAGTTGGTTGTCTGGTCACTGTTAATCACTCTGAATTTAACCCTTTTAAGGTTTATTTGTAAGAGCGGGAGTTTCTAATTCTTTTTTGTTTGTTTTTGTGTGTGCCATGAACTTCTTCAATAGGTGAACCATGTGGACTACTTCTCAGAATAATGTTTAAAATGTATAAAGTAGGATTACAAAGGAAACCAGTGGTATAAAAATAGCTGTCATATTTAAAAACAAAGTTAATTATATATTTATGATATGCATGAAATAGAAGTAGATGTACTAGCTGTCATAATGAGCATGAGCAAGATTTTGAGATATCTCTAACAACTGTAAAGTAACATGAACGTATATTTGAGTTCTGGTTGTGATAATGTCACAGGTGTATTGCTAAAGTTAAGATTGTTGTCTACAATCTTAATTGAAGAACATGCTAAATTTCAGGTGGATGTGCGTGAGATAAAGATGCAGTATTACCTACCCAAGTACAAATACCTTGGGTTCAGAACCTCTGATTTGGAGTCTTTTGTCAGCTTGAAATGCTCGTTATTTCTGAAGTGTTCTTCCTTTGTCTCAAATTCACGTCATTGTCTTCTTAATCCTGGAAAACAGCTGTGAGCAGTTCATGCATAATGTGTTCATACCATTTTGTACTGTGATGTTGGAGCAGTATTTATTTTTTACAAAATGCTATACAGTTGCCTGTTTCTTTCCTTAAATGCAGTTTAGAAAATTATTACTAGGTTTTGGCCAGGCACAGTGGCTCACACCTGTAATCTCAGCACTTTGGGAGGCCGAGGTGGGCAGATCACGAGGTCAGGA